TTTAATAACAAAATTATCAATTTCCCAAACATATATATGCTAGGTATGTTATTATACGTAATTTAAGCTTCAATTTAATGTAAAATTCAACCACAAACGCTTCGCAAAACGTTTTAAAATGTTCTTAAAACTAATCGGGTTTGAACATTGAGTTTGAAACAAACTGATTTCAAATTCTCACATGAAAATAACTTTGCTTTCCTCTTTATTTAAATACTTTAATATACAAAAGAAAGGGTAATTAATAAAACTATACACTGTAATTCTCTGCTGTCTTTCTTCACTTATATACACAATGATAGTATATAACTATCAGTTCGATATTCGCAGTATCGCCCACCACTATCAGTTATAAATATATCAATTATAAAACAAACAGTAGTACAGTACATCAATACTTAAAACAAACTTACCTTCATTAACGTTGGTGACTTTGCTCTATTCTCTTAGACGTTTTTAGACGTTTTTTTGGCTCTCAGAAAGGTTTTGAAATTTACAAAATCTTGCAAAAATAGAACTTGCATAATAAATGTTCGTTATTTCGCTGTCGTCAATGCAGTCGTTATAATGCAAATTTCAATTTGACCAATCAGTGTTCACTATTCACGACAGTCCGCTACATATTTTGAGATCAGTGAGGATGACCACCACTGAGCTATACTATATTACTGGAGGAAGTGCTCGGCAAAAAAAGTGTCCGCAAAAACATGGCGGATTTTCGCGCCATATGACGCCATTTCCATGACAACTGGTTCCTCCGGCTCATGAAATTACCACTGACCAGGCTCAATTCTGAGCCCGCTACAATTTTCACACCCCCCTGGTTTTATCAAAAATATTTTTCCTTTTCGACGTTTTTGCAGTAAATTCTCGCTGTTTTTTTATATTTTTTTGACTTTTGACCATTGGTTCAAAGATTTAAAAGTCGTACACACTATTCTCACCCGCGAAAGACAAAAAACCGATATGAAAACCCCGAAAAATTTAGGCAAAGACGATATTTGATGGCACAGCTATTCAGGTAAATTTTCACATACTATTGATATGCTTTTTAATATTTTTAATTTTTGAAAGATAGTGGGAGTAAATGATAGAATATAATCCATTAGATAACAGGCTCTTTGTATAGTATAACGTATTATTTTCCGCCGTGTATTCAAAGTCTTGTCGTAGGCTACTGACAAATACAGAAACTTTGTTTTTATATTCAAAGTGTTTTTTTTACTTTTATACTAGCTTTGTTAAATTGTTGGCTGGTCATGGTTTTTGTTAAACAAATTTTGTTTTATTTAATTCAGTTAAATCAGTTTTTTCCCTCAAATCAAAAGGGGTTTTCTATATAGACTGATGGCTGAAATCTGACATGCTTGATTTTATGCAATTGTATGTGCTATTAAAATATTAAAGTGTATATACAGGTGTAAAGGCATGAAACAATGTGCTTCTATCTATATTCTTTGTGTTTATATACACTAGAGTCTGTGTTTATTATAGTATGCATAATCTAGGGTGCCAGTAGAAGCTAGCCTAGGGGTACCAGAAGCTCAGGATACTGTGGGCAACTTAATATCTGGTAATATGATTTCTACCTAGATTTCTGACTGACATGTTGAATTGAGGATTCTTGAACCACTAGAAATAAGATTGTACTTCTTGAATGTTGGGTACCAATCACAAGTGTAGTCAAGTGTAGGTATAAGCAAAGAATCTAGATTATAGACTTTATAGGGTTGCACTGGATCTCATTATACAGGCCAGAACTGAGAAAGTCACACATGCTAGTCAGACATCAAGTCAGAAACAATTTAATTGGTAGATAATGTCACTTCCAGTCCATGCAGGTGGATTTATTTGGGGTTTTGTTCATTTCAGTCCTCTCTCTGTGCACCCCTGTATGAAGCAACTACCTGAAACTAAGAAATCAATGAACTTCAACATTTCAGGTGAAAGACCTATAGTATTATTTTTCAGGTAGTTGCATGATACATTGAAGCCTTTAAATAGTGTGGTGGCTTAAGCTGCTTTTCTCATTCCCTTTCTTCACTTTCTTACTCTTTTGTCTCCAGTGAAAACTTTATTTTACAACATTTTAATTACATAATCTCTTTTTGGTCTAATTGCAGAATTATTTGATGGTGAGACAGTTCATAGTTCAACCTCTTTATTAAAGAATAATCAATTATCAATTATTAGAAATAATTAATTTTGTTAGCAGTGATAAAACTATCCAGACAAGTTATTATTATTATGACTTTGTAGCCAGATGGGTATGATTTTGCTTTGGCTGTTCAGTATTTTGATCCATTGTGATATGTCTTGTGGTACCTGTGAATGACTTTACCTGCAAAATAATAAATGAATGTAACATTACATTAAGATACATCCTTACACTGCAATATAATTATGTAAATATAGATGTTCAGTGTGAAGAATATGGTCTTTGACACTCTTTGTATATAATAAACATGCTATTGTGAAATGGAAATGATCAAATAAAGTTATTTCTGCAACAGCCCTTGCATTCAAACACCTTATTTGTATTTTTCTTGTTCATGCTTGAGCATCAGCCTCAGGATAAGCAAATTCCATTGGATTTGTGAGAGCACTTGAACTATATTGGGTCATTACATGAATTACAGAAAAGATTGAGACTCCCACAGCCTGTGCTACAAAAAACGTTACAGCTGTGACAATGTAGAGGGGTGATCCAAATAATAAAAATGTTAACTTAATATGGACTTAAAATTATTAAGCAATTGAGTGCACCAGCACTTTCCCCTTTAACAAATAAAATTATCTAACATTGGACTGAGCAAGATAACAAAGTAGGGCACAGTGCCCCAATAATGGTTTAAAATAAATTTAAATGCTGAATTTTTTGAAAGTGCCAGAGTGGCAACATAGGAAGCCCAAACAAGCGGGTTTTATTAAATAAAATCCGTAATTAAAACGTTAATTAGCAATAAAATTGCTGTTAGAATCGTTACTACTTAAAAGGTAGGTTGTGGACATGCATCCTAAGTACATACTGCTACAAAAACCTGGTAGTTAGCACTTAAAAGTTAAAACCAATCACAAATTTCATTATTTCAAAGTAATATAAAACAAAACAAGTAGAGAAAAGGATTTTGAACCCAAGATATGAGACAAAATTAATATGAGAATGAGTTTGAACATAAAAAAACAAGAAAAAAGAGGATAACTGAATTACAAAACTACTGTGATATTGTTGAAACTACCAATATTATACATTTGCTGTTTATAACGGTAGTTTTTGACCTTTTCCATCGAAATGGCAAGTTAAATTTGCCCGAAGCAGCCCAAGCTTTGGCAAGCTACAATTTAAAAAAAGTAAAAGAAATAAAACTTTTGTGAATCTTACCTGAAAACAAGAAGTATACTAATCCTTTCGAGTGAATTGTTTCATCTACAAGCAGACTAAAAACTTAAAACTAACACACTTTTTCCTCGACTGTGAAAATATCAAGATTTTCGGTCGAAACTCGAAAATTATGATCAAAATTTTTGCAAAAACCAGGGGGGTGAAGGATTTTATTTCAAGCGCAGGATCGCGGTTGGTCAGTGGTAATTGCCATGAGCCGGAGGAACCAATTGGCGTCAGCAAACATGAAAATCCGCCATGTTTTTCCGGACACTCGTTTGACTGAAGGATAGATAGGAGCACGTCCTCCAGTAATATTATAGCTCAGTGGGCGTAACCCGTAATTCGTCATCAAATGCTGACGAATGCGGAATGCCTCTCAAACGCACACTGGCTAGGACCATGGCGTCAGCATTCTGATGATGAATCATGGCGTGGCAGCCGTTACTCGAGTCAACCTTCTGTGTGCCTTATTCTGTGGCAAGGCGCCACCACCATCTTGGGTAATGTTGATGTGGGCAGGAGTTGGGGTTACATTTGCATTGACATGGAGAAGCTTGTGACGAGGCTTGTTGCAGACGATTGCAGTTTCTCTCCACCCTCTTTCTTTCCTGAGCTTTTCGCATCGGTACCACCTTTGCCTCTCTTCAAATAGGAAAAAACATGCTCGTCGATCTATCACTATTTTCCATCTTTCATTCGGAGTCATACCACGGAAGCTTTGGCATTTATCTAGTACATATAGTGTTGGGAACAATGTATAAGCTAATGCGTATTTTAGAACAATGTATAAGCTAAGGGAACAATGAAAAAGCATTTGTTAAAATGAAGCTTCATTTTGTTAAAATTTGTTAAAGCTTGTACGTTCTAAAGATTTTGAAACCATAAATTAGTTTTCTATGATAAATTGAACATGCGTTACGAACTTATGGTATTTTTTCTTGGGTCAGTTCTGGTTTTAAAAGGCCATTTTCGTAAAATCAATGGACCAATCCCATAATAATCAAAATTTTGATCTCAACAAGTGTAGACAAAATTCCATCACAGCATGAAAGAGCATCACAAAATTAGTAATATTGCAAAGTTTCGTTGCGAAATGTTGTAAAATGCGGATAATATAGCCTTGCGAAATTGCAATTTTCAGTCATTTTGTATTACGAGCGGGAAACGGTTACCACTTTTCCACAATTTTGATCTCAACTAACCTAAACAAAAATTTCATCACAGCTTGAAAGAGCATCACAAAATTACGCACGGAAGTGGTAAACCATTTCCCGTTTGTAATACAAAATGACTGAAAATTGCAAACTTCGCAAAGCTATATATTACCGCATTTTACAACTTTTCGCAAAGAAACTTTGGAATATTACTAATTTTGTGATGCTCTTTCAAGCTGTGATGAAATTTTTGTCTAGATTTGTTGAGTTCAAAATTTTGGTTAATGTGGGATTGGTCCATTCAGTCAGCAAGGATTAAAGGAAAAAATAGCCACTTCCATGCAGTGGCACCTTTATATAGGAGTGCTACTTTCACCATTGTCTTAATATATGCATGGAGCTGCAATATATCCAGAATATATTCTTCAACCTAATATGTTTAACATTTGTGTATTTTTTGCAGTGCCTGTGTGGGTCCTGTTACTTATTATTGGCTTCATTATCCTTGTCGCTCTCGCCTGTTGCTTTTATCGTTACTGTTGTAGAAACCGACCAAGTGGAAGCAGGTAAACATGCAGAAATCCCCCTGATCCAGGGTACCTTTCTACCCATACAACTATTGAGTCAATGGGATTGGTAGTGAGTCTTATATACAAAATTAAATTAAATTGCTTACTAAAAAACTAGTTTCATATTATACTTGTGTGATGTTACTCTGAGTGTATATCCACACCGGGCAGGCTTGAAACATATGCCTGGCCACGGTGGGATTCGAACCTACGACCTTTGGAATACTAGCTCAACGCTCTGCCGACTGAGCTACGCGGTCAGGTCGGTTCGAGTATGCGATATTTCGGAACTGAGTCTAGTTCCTTCGATATCAGTGTAATCTAATAATCATGATTTTAAAAGGTTTCATAGTTTCATATTATCCTGACACAGCAGAGTACAGCGAAAAATTCGTTGTCTCGAGCAGGATTCGAACTTGCATCTTCGGGTTTCTAGACCGCCAAGACAAGCGCCAAGTTATCACGAAAATATTTCGTGTAACAATCCCATAGGTGCGAATTCGAATCTCGCTTGAGACAACGAATTTTTTGTTGTATTCTGCAGGGTCAGAATTACCCCTGTAAAATCACTAGAATGACCACTGTGTTCTGTGCCTCCTGACATGCAGGACTGTGGGGGTTTCACTAACTGACTGAGACGATTCACTGGCTAGCTGACTGGGACGACTGTTCCTTATTATTTATTGAAGGATTTGGGGACTCTGCCTAGACTCGATTCTATTATGTTTGTGATGTTACTCTGAGTATGTATCCACACCGGGCAAGCTTGAAAAATATGCCTGACCACGGTGGGAATCGACCCTACGACCTTTGGAACACTAGCCCAATGCTCTGCCAACTGAGCTACGCAGTCAGGTCGGTTCGAGTAGGTGATATTTAGGAACTGATTCTAGTTCCTTCGACATCAATGTAATCTATTAATAATCATGTTTTTTCAAGCTTGCCCGGTGTGGATACACACTCAGAGTAACATCACAAACATCATATTCACCTGAGTACACAACACCAACACAAGAAACTCGATTCTATTAGATAAACAGCCACTTCACCTAGACTGTCAGTCACATCACATTCGACCTCTCAGAGTCATTTGAGGGATGACCTCGTTTTAGTTCTTCTGTCATTTTGTTAAAGTCCGTGCCTTCTCCATAGCATCGTCAATATTTTTAGCATACTGACGTACAGTGCCTTAGAAACGCTTTCTTTATTGTTTATTCGCTCCCTGACTGGATTTATGTTCTTTGTAATGGTCTCTTCGATCGAACTTTGTTTTTGAACTCTCTTCGATCGAACAAGAAATAAACGTATTACGTTCAAAACAGCATCAGTGTGACATGTCATTGCTGCATGCGATTTCAGGTTACAAAAAGAAGAAGAAGAGTTTGATCTTAAACGAAAGAACCTCAAGGCTCAACACACAGAAAGGTAAATAATGAAGGAAAGACTCTACACCTGTCCTTAAGGACTGGTCATTAATAATGGGAGTGGAGGCGGGGACGGGTCGATGCACGTGCTTTATACTTACTTGTTATACATTTTGATTAAACGATTAAAGAAAATTTACCATTTAGTATATACCAATAGTTGCAATATAAATGGCTTCATACATGCAAGTTTATTAGAATTAAAGTTTTCTCACAGTCCAGAATTCTTGTGGGATGTGGCATTTTCCTGTGATCTATTATGTTAGGGGCCGATTACGTGGAGCACTTTCAACCCCGGGAATGATCTCAGCCCTGTTAACCGGGTTGAATTTTTTTGCAATTACATGGACGATTTCAACCCCGAGGTTGAAATGCTATAGTTCCCGACATTTATTCCCGGAAGTAAAAAAAGCGGTTCCATAGCCTCCATTTTGTTTTCTTGTAATAAATAGTCACTACCACGCATGCTCGAATAATACATGAATAATTTCGACGCTGACCAAAAATAGCGGCTCATTTCTTCTTGAGTTTCCATTTTCGCGTCGAAGAGCAAAAATATAGACTTTCAGAGAATATTGTAGCTGTTTACTATCAAATATGTTTGTGAAACAGTTGATAATCTCACTGAGGAAGGCCAACGGTTTCTGAAAAGCTAAAGTACGTCGAAATCAGCTTTGGAATAGACTATATTTTCACCGGGGAAACATGAACAAAATGGAGTATTTACATCAACACTAAATTTTGCTCGTGCCTACAGAGCTAGTTGGATTAAAACAGATGTTAAGAAGTAAGTGAAATCGTGAACTTTGTGAATTATACTTTCATTAAAATGTTTCGGAAGGTCTGCTAATGTCAAACTACACGTGTGACAGAGCTGTCAGTATACCCATATTTCAATGTTTATGTTGAAATGACCTATCTTCTTTGAGGTATAGCTTAAAATTTAGGGTATGCTCATCACTTGAAACTTATCTATAGTCTTTATATTAGCATTAAAATCATTCATGGGGAAAATGTGCCAAAGGGTTGAAATTACCCTTGTAAATGTACACTATTTTTGACATGCTTGGGTTAGTATTTTGAAAAGGTGTTCTGGAAGGAAAATATGTCTTGAACAATACTGGTTGAGCCTTAAATTATAACTAGTGTTATGTAAATCACCGAAAATTGAAAAAAATCTGGTTCATACACAATATTTTGGACTCTATGAGGTCCCAAATGGGGCTTATTTCAATGTTGAATCTGTTTACCTAAAAAAACAGGTTTTTCTAATTGCTTTTTCACCTGGGTTTGTGGCAATGCCAGTTATGCGACCACGAAAAATGCGCGCGGCACTTTTTTTGGACACTGAAGATGGTAACATTTGATGTTGTCTTATATTGCCATCCTCTTATCGTAGCATAACTTAACTTATTTTAGTGAATTTGTTAAAGAGTTGTGTTCACTATATGCTTGTAGTATCTAAGATTTTTTCATAGCATTATATGATAAATTTAAGTTCTGTTTTATTTTATTTTTAGGTGATAGTATCTGTTCACTCCAGTGTTGGTATCAAATTTTGGTCAAGTTTCAATTATTATTTCATATTCCTTTATTCAAATATCCAAATAAATGGAATATGACATCAAGCTGGAGGACTAGATCCTGTTTTCAAACTTGTTTTTTGTAAAAATAGAAAATAACAACTTATTCTGTGTTGTTCTAATAAAAACCATTGTTTTTGATACGCATATATTTTAATTTTATTCTTTGTTAAAATGTGTACCTGAAATGCTGAAATCTTTCAGATCAGCTAACAATACCTTTATAACTTATATAGCCAAGTGTTCTATCTATTTTTGTTCAGATTAAACAAATAATGGATAAAATATTAGATAAGATTTTTTCAAAAAATATGAACTTGCCTGTTTTCAAAGCATAAAAAGCAATAAAATAAAGCAAAAGTACTTATTTTTAATTTAAAACCTTTGAAATGCACAGCTTAATGTTTTCCTCTAAATATTACAAAGTTTTCGTTCATTAAAATGTTGTTTTATCAGCTTTAAAACCAGATAAATCCACGAAACACTCCTAATATACGTCGCCATATTGATTTTCTGCGCGCATGCTCAGACAAATTGCCTACCTGTTAGCCCTGGGTTGAAACGATTACAGGACATATTTTCAACCCAGGGCCGAAGCCCCCGCGGTTGAACTCGGCCCTGGGTTGGAAATTTTGTCATGTAACGGCGCGCGTAGTTCGAGTTTTGTATTGAAGACTGGGCTGAAATTTCAACATGGTCAACAGGGCTGCATGAGTTCAACCCCGGGGTTGAAAATGCTCCATGTAATCGGCCCCTTAATAGCACCTGGTTGCAGACACAATTTAAACAATAGTAATTTTAGCCATTCTGTAATCCACAGCTATACAAATCATGCAGGTTATTTATTCCCGCCGGATGTCAAGCGACTATAAAGTTTATTCGCGGCAATAAAATTACAGGAAACGTAAGGTCAAGGTTTCGGTGGTTATAGCTCCTTTTTTATGTGAGCAGATGTACAGTTGTAGAGTTTGTGGGTTTATTGTATGTTTCTTACAGAGAAACCGAAAGAGAAAAGAAGAGAGACGAAATGCGCAAGAAATATGGTAAGATATGTTTTTATTCTACAGTAATACACAGTTAAAATATAACTGCAAGCCAATTTTCTCGTGTAGTTTACAAATCAGCTGAGAGATGCATACACTGGGTGCATGCAGCATGTTCGCGCGGTAGATATTGAGTTCATCGATAAAATTTACAGAGCAACACTGTCAAAACTGCAGTGTATTCTGAAAGTTAATATTTCAATAAAAATACATTGTTGCAATAAATGTCGAGTTTTCCTTATTTTACATGATTAGACATGATCATTTCATCTGTTTTAAAACCCGACGAAGGGTCTTCGCTCGAAACGTCGATAGTGCTTTATGTACTATTTAAAGCACGCGTAGGAGTGTTTTATCACATATAAAACACGACGCGTAGCGGAGTGTTTTATATGTGATAAAACACTCCTACGCGTGCTTTAAATGGCTTCAAAAACGACTCATCTTATACGAGTTCATTGGCGAAGTAATTTTTAAAATAAACTTTGTCTAAACCGAGAAAATCAAAGCTAAAGTTTATGTAAATTAACATGGTTTTTTATCACATATAAAACCACGACACGCTTATGATTTTTCTTTGTGTTTTCCTCCTGAATTATTAATGAGTTTTTGAAAGAGATTTCGAGCACTGATAAAACTGATAATCTCACATGTGAGATTATTTATGATAATCTCACATGTGAAAATTATCGCTTTTCAATTATCGCTTTTCTGCAAAAAATATCGCTTTTCAAAGACTGTCCTTTATATAATAAACAGATTGGAAATACCAGATTTATTTCTCGTGTTGAACATGATATCTCACTCGTTCGCTGCGCTCACTCTTGAGATATCATGTTCAACACTCGAAATAAATCTGGTATTTCCGCGCACCCATGTATTATATATCTATATATTTACCGTATTTGCATGGAACATCTGTTTTGGCCGTTTATATTTGTAGTATTTAGCAATCTCATGGCCTCGATTTTTGCTAATTGACATTTGCTATTACTAATAGTAAAGTGCATTTTGTTGTTTCGCTTATTGTTACATCCGTATATCACTGAAATATCTGTATCAATATATCGATATCGAAAGAAAGGCAACTATCAAAATACTATCGAATTAAAAAAGGCCAAAAGGGATATTCTACGTGTGGGACGCGAGAATGACGTCTGACTCAATTCGGCTAAATCTCAAATTTTAACTTCCAACCAGCGAACGGGCTTACCCTGCCTTACGAAATTAGGGAATTTATTGCGGCCTGTGGAGGAGGTGGGCTAACTGTAGGACCTCATTAAGTGATCGTTTCAGTGAAGAGCAGCGCTCACTTATGCATGGTTTTATATGCTTTATTAAACAACTCGAAATTCGCGTTGAATGTCCCGACATTCTCCGTAATATCTATCTTCTGAGAGCGTCAAGTTTGCGGCCGCACTTTCCCTAGTGATACTCGGTTTACTTATACTTTCATCTTTTCTTATGCACTCATGCAGGCATAAATAAAGATGATACTGACGATGCATTGGTTAATTAAAGCAAGTACCAGCGATTTGAAAATAATCCTCATGCAAGTTTAATGTACATTTCATAGTAAGAACATTGTGTAGTGTGTACCCACACCGATAACTTCTTGTATAGTATGCACGAATATTGTAACTAAATGTATCATTGTAGTATATACCTTCACAATTTGTGTACATAGCTAGTATATATCGTTAGATCATAACTGGTTAGGTATCGCCTGGAAACTTTACTGTAATTACGGTGAGTTTGGCAAATAACCGGATTCATATCTGCACCACCGAACAACTATCCAGTTTACTAGATATATAAAGATAATAAATGCATAAATAGAAAGTTTTCAGCGCTGCTAAAAATCTTTTTTCGTAAATTTTAAGCCGGTTTTCAAGAATACATATAAGGCCATTTATACGGGACAAAATAAGTCGCGACGTACATAAAACGCAACTTTAAATAAGACGCGAGTTTGTCGTATAAAAGGTACAAATTTCTTATGCTTATAAGTCGCGTCTTGGATAAGACGCGACTTAAATAAGAACAGGATTTTTAGCTGTTCTTATTTAAGACGCGTCTTAAATAAGACATTTTGGATAAAAGGTCTAACTACACATGCTCGAAACTTGAAACAACGTAAAATTAGTAGCCTTTCATATTAAAACAAAAACAACCAAAACAACATTATAGTTATAGCAAGTAAATAAGAACCATTTATGCGATAACTCCGCTTATTTAAGACGCATCTTATGTAAGTCGCGACTTATTTTGTCCCGCCCATAAATGGCCCTAATATTCATGTTGACGGATTGATCATGCTCTTCGCATGCGTGAAAAGACTGGGACTGGCCTTCAAGTTTGGCTTCAAGTTTCTGGTTGGAGGTAGCGTTCCAGTTCCAGTTCGCAATTCTCACATACAAACTCTCGCTTGCCAACACTCATCAACTCACATCCTCGTGTAATACGAGCAACAAAATTGCCAAAACTTGGAACAAAAACTGATTTCCACCCATGTTAATTCAAAATGTTCAACACACACTGTGCCAGATTTTCATTGAACTGAATTGAACACTGATGCCTACAAGTGCAACATGTGAAAGGCTATTTTGTTGCGCAGGGTTTTAATTTTTCAGACCACAATGCTGCTCAATGTGTGAAAATTCTTTTTCTGGTTAAATCAAACAATTGTTTTGTCTAATTCACTTCGTATATTGACAATTAGCATAACTCAATCTATAATAAATCGTAGTCTGACTCGTGCTATTGCTTGGCATTATAAATATAATATATATTTGACATAATTATCGCAGCTATTTAAATTAACAATTAGATTACGAGCTCAAGATTTCTATGAGGTGATAGTTGATGAGGGCGAAGCCCAAATCAACTATCACCTCATAGAAATCGAGAGCAAGTGATCTAATTGTTTTAGTAGAATCAGAAATCAAACATAAAATATTCCTCAGAAAAACGCGAGCCGGGAGCCATTTAAAAAAAAATGCGCCAGGAAAATGATTGTTTTGCTACTCGCTATCTATCGATGATTAGATAGCGAGTAGAGTAGCCAATCAAATTACAGCATTTGCAATAGTATACTAGTATGATTGTACTAAATTTTAAAAAAAATGGCTTCCATTATCAAATTATTGAATTATTTTGTGGAATATTTTATGTTTGATCTCTGATTCTACTAAAACAATTAGATTACTCGCTCTCGATTTCTATCAGGTGATAGTTGATTCGGGCTCGAGCTCGTAATCTAATTGTTAATTATAACATTTTTGTAACTCGTAACTTTGTAACTAGTTACAAAGTTTTTAAAGTAACTTTGTAACTGTAACTAGTTATTTTTATTTCATTGTAACTTGTAACTTGTAACTTGTAACTTGTAACTTGTATCAGTAACTAGTTACTTTTCTGATGATGTAACTGCAACTGTAACTATAGTTACAAAAATTATGTAACTTTTACAGCACTGGTGCGGTGACAGGTCTGTTGCCAGAAATAGAAATAAATTTTGTGATTATTAAAAGACACTTAAGTTAAAATATACTAAAATTGTCTGTACCAGTGTGGGTAGTACCAATACGTGAAAATGCTGTGCTGAGTGGTTATAGTACTACCTTAAAAAACAAGCAGAAACTCGACGTTTCGAGCGAAGGCCCTTCGTCATGGCCCTTCTTCGGCTACTAACTCTTGACGAAGGGCCTTCGCTCGAAACGTCGAGTTTCTGCTTGTTTTTTAAGGTAGTAATATAACCACTTAAGTTAAAAGTTGTTCTTTGGTCTGTGTTTTATCAAATTTATCAATACCCGAGCAGATCACTTGACGAAAGATTATTATTTTAACGAGTTTAGACTTTAGTGTTTTTGTTAGAGTTAAGTAGCTCAGACACATTTTGTAAGAAAGATTTGTTCATGTGTACTGTCAACGAGATAGGGTGAGTCAACGAGGGCTATGTCTCAAAAGCTGCAAATTGAGAGAGATGACATATAAACTAAATCAAAACGGAAAAAAGGTATACCATATCTGGTGTGTTCCGTCTAACATCTATTAGTTCTAACTTCTATTCCCAACCGCTACGAGCTCGAATACCCACGAGGCGTTGCAGTTGGCATATAATGTTAGACAGAACATTAATGTTAGACAGAACACACCCGGGGGCGGTTGTTCAAAACTCTGTCAGGGGTGAGGTCGTCATGTTTTGACCAACTTTTCCTAGAATTTTGACCAAGTCGTAAATATTTTCCCCGAAAATGTTGTCGACGGGGAGGGGGGATGTCAAACATTTTTCTGGAGTAACATAAGCGAAGCTTAAATTTTTTCCCCGACCAATATAAGAAAAGCTTGCAATTTTCTCCGGGCAAACATAACCAAAGCTTAGAAATTGTTTAAATTTGCGAAAGACATAACTTTGACCATCTTTTATCTCAAACTTTGACCAAATTTTACCAACTTTGTTCTCAAACTTTGACCAACTTTTGCCAAGTTTGACCTTAAACTTTAAGCAAATATTTTCCATTTTGACCAATGTTTTGAATTATTGGGGGTCACACACCCCGGTAGCGACGTCCCTGTTCACATTCGCACTACGTCCAGTCTTTCGGCTGCTGGTAAGTCTCCAGAAAATGTCAGTATTTAGTGTAAATACGGCTTTCTAGTGTGATATTTCTAAATTATAGAGAAGAATATAAGATTCATATTTTTCGTTTCTGATCAGTATCGTTAAAAACTCAATAATTCATGAGGAAAATACAAAAGAAATCGCTGCCGTGTCGGTGGTTTTATATTTGAGTAAAAAAATCATTTTCAATTGAAAAATCAATTTGTTTTTTACGTTTTTAAAACACTCGCTGTCCGTGCTTTATCAGATATAAAACACTCGAGCACTCCTGCTCGTGTTTTAAATAGTACACAGCTAACCCAGGCACCCTGGGATTATTTGCAGCCCCTTTGAACCACCGTAGTAGCTACCTCCTCCGCAGGCGCTTAGGGAGCATTACGTTTCTAAAAGTGGCCCGCAAATCTGCACCGCCCGCAAATTTGCCCGGAAAAGGGCCTGCGGAGGAGGTAGCCGTAGTAGCGTTACCAACTACACATTGGCCGTTTTTATACTAGAGACGCATGCGTCTGGACGAACTTGGGCAAGCATTTGTTGTTCGTCTGGTTATGCGTCCTTAGTATAAAGACGGGCACAAGACGCATTATGCGTCTAGACGAACTATGTTCGATTCTTCGTCTTAAGAGACGTACAGGCACAACCGATGATAGTTCGTCTAGACGCATAATGCGTCTTGTGCCCGTCTTTATACTGAGGACGCATAACCAGACGAACAATAAATGTTCAATAGTTCGTCGCATTGGCCGTTTTTATACTAGAGACGCATTATGCGTCTGGACGCATAATCCGTCTTCTACATTATTCGTCTAGTATTATTCGTCCCGTCTTTATACTAGACGAATAATGTAGAAGACGGATTGTGCGTCCAGACGCATAATGCGTCTCTAGTATAAAAACGGCCATTGAGAGACACTGAGGACAAACTAGCTGTTCCTACGCCCCATACCAACTACCTAAAGAATAGCTTTGGTTATAGTGCTGTGGAACAGCCTTCCTGTTCATTTAACTGCAGTAGCTATTTTATATTAAGTATATAAAGTTTTGTCTCCACGGCACTCATGGAAGCAGGAATTATAGTTATTTGTTGTAATTTTTTTTCTATCCCTGTAATTGTTTGAACTCCTGATGAGTTTTTTTTACCGTGGTTAAATAGAGTATAAGTATTTGATTTTGAATTTGCCACGCAAGCTAATTACGCTAATTGGGGATGATTCAATATAATCCCACTTAATCACCTCATATAACCATTTATCCATGTTAATCCCCATTCTAATGCCCTTGATCAGCGATTGGCTGAGAGCGATCCAATTTCAGGACAAGTACTCAAGTAGATTTATTGTCAACAGCGACAGAAATTGTCCCGTTTTGTTTACATTTTTTTAGCGTTGTTTTATGCTAGTAGACTGGATTTTATGGCGAAAATCGCTATGAAATGAGAAACAAAAAGCGCTGAATGATAAAAATCCTCAAAGTCGTGCATTAAATGTGGTAAGTCGTGAAATATATTACATATAAGCGATCGATAATACACGTTTGGAATTTTGGAGTAAAGCTGTGCTTTTAGGCCTCTATATCGAGTCTTTGAATCAGTTTTTCTTTTGCTTCTAGTCATAGATACTATTAAGTAGAATTTAGAATTTTTTACACTGATCGACATTTAAATTGTCATCAGAGTGATTAAATATCCTGTCCGGAATTTTACGCAGCTTTAATAGTGGCGAATACGCGCCGCGGTCATATTATTGAAGTGTTTTTATTAATACAAACTGATTTGCACTACATGAACAGAAATTATTATTATGAACAAAAATAAGTGGAACAGAAATTTGACACATTAATACTATTCCTGTGCTGAAATATGCTGTATGTTCACATACTGTTCACATGGGACTGGATGAATTCTAAGCTGTATATTCATATTTACAAGATTTTTTTCTTTTCATCATGAAACCAGTTGAATTTGACAACAGTCTTTTAATTTCTGTGTGAACAACGTCAACAACCATTTGTTTGATTTTATGTACCATTCCAAATTCACCCAGTCTATTAACGAGAACATACTGTAGTCTGTGGATAATAAGCAGAATATTTAATTATTTATGGCCTTGGAGCATATATTGGTGCCAAGATTATATTGGCACAAATTAACATATCCACCAAATTTTTACTGGATAGTGCCGGATGTCTGCATTTTACTGGATACCGGTATCCAGCCCTACTTTATTATTTTACTCTGTCTAATGCCAGACAATAGGTGTGGAGAGTGCTGCCAATGGGTTAATTAGACTGCCCTGTTAACCCTTTAAGTGGCAATGTGCCCTGATGCACCCTACTTTTAAATTATTAATTTTATACTCTGTCCAACACCAGATGATTTATATCAAGGAGAGAGTGCTGCCACTCAATGGGTTAACTAAAATATATATTATACCTATTATTCAGTCAATATATTGCCCAAATTTAAAATTAAACTGTCTTCAAAGCCCTTTTAAAATTATATGTAACTACCTAGGCTCGATCCAGCCGGTGGGGGGAGAGACCCACCGGCTGGATCGAGCCTAGTAACTACCCAGATATATTTTGAAGTTCTTTGTTTGTATGTTAAAGAATTCCACAAACTAGTTGCTCTATGTTACAATATTAAGTTTCTAACTTAAATTAATCAAATTTAGGTGCAGGTAATAACTAAAGGCATATCTTTAAGCTTAATTCCTACTAAAATTATAGCTGGTGTAATTGTTTTTAATAATAAGAGTTTGTAATATTCAGGGACGCCGGAACTGGGAGGGGCAGCCGCCCCTGTTGCCCTTTACCAGGAGGGGCAAGGGGGCATTGGTGCCCTTTCAATTTACAGGATTGCCTTGGCAAAATAGCGAATTGTCAGAAATGTTAGTGCAATTCTTGGAATTTTTACACTTTACCGTACCGGAGTAATCACTACACCCCATCAAAACATGCCAAATAAAAGAACAGAAAAACCGTCAGAACACACGCCATGAAATACTTGCGGTATGGTAAAGTGTAAAGTACCCCAATTCTTTTACATATTTGCTTCAGAAAACGCAAGAAACGCAGTCATCGAGCTTCAAGAATAGCACAATCACCTGGCGGAGAACCCCTTCACATCCCTATCATCCAATAAATAGAAAACGGATTAGGCGAAGTTCAACTCCCGATGTTTTGTAAACATCTCTTAGTATATATCAATTCAAAAGTGGCCTTTCACGAAAATCTGCCCCCCTTGCCTTCACATTGTTCCGGCGTCCCTGGTAATATTGTTCTGGAACATGACCGAATAACATTTATATGCTAAGCATAGCAAACATCTAGAGTTCATGTCTCTGATGGTATTTCATTTACTGTAGCCTTCACGAGTACTTTGTCACTTGGAATACACAATCATACTAGTCCAGTTGATAGATAATCTTGACAGCTAAGCACATAACTTGACTTTACAAGAGCTCCAAAATAGAGATTCCTCTCTGGTAGGAAGTGAGTTTAACTTTTTAGCATGATTTGAAAACTCAAAAACATGATTGTTCCAATTTACTAGTTGTTAACATCTTACAGTATTTCTCGTACCCAATGAAACTAACGGTAGCATGGTGGCATAAACAACGTTGATTGGAGGGTGTAGCTCTGTTGGAGAAGGTTCACGCTGCTTAGTTAGTTTACTCAGCAAGTCGGCTTACAACGAGCTTTACTCTGCACAGCTGTCTTGTAGGCAGAAGGAACCTCTGGCCACCCCAAACATCCCGGCTTGAAAACTTCAAAAACATGATTGTTCCAATTTACTATAGTTGTTAACATCTTACACTCTCGTACCCAATGCAACTAACGGTAGCATAGTGGCACAGAGTAGATAAGACATACAGAGACGTAACTGACCGTTGTAAACTCTGCGGAAGATTATGTTATCATGTACCCACTTATTTTCAGACGACCGGGCGAAAAATGATCAACTGCGCGTGCTCAGAAAGTTTAAAGTGAGTCGTCATCAGGTCGTCATCCAATCAAATGCATGCATCTAGTAACTTGCCGAGCATGCGCACAAAAAAAGTGGGTACACTAGTTACGTCTCTGTATGTCTCTACTCTGTGATAGTGGCGTAGTAATGTTCAAACAACGTTGATTGGAGGGTGTAGCGACAGAATAAGGTACACAGAAGGTCGACTTCTTTGTTTTTCCTATGATTGTCCTATGATTTTGGCGTAACCGCAATTCGTCATCAAATGCTGACGCCATGGTCCTAGCCAGTCCGCGTTTGAGAGACATTCACCCCCCCGATACGTCCAGGGGGGAATGCCTCTCAAACGCGCACTGGCTAGGACCATGGCGTCAGCATTTTGATGATGAATCATGGCGTGGCAGTGGTTACTTGAGTCTACCTTCTGTGTGCCTTATTCTGTGGTGTAGCTCTGTTGGAGAAGGTTCATGCTGCTTAGTTTGTTTACTTGGCAAGTCAGCTTAATTACGACGTGCTCGGCTACTCTGTGCAGCTGACAGCTGTCTTCTAGGTGGAAGGAACTTCTGGCCACCCCAACATCCCGGGTTAACTAATATCAATAATGCCATTAAGAATTAACCTCTCCGTGGACAGAACTATACCGTTACACCAACCATGGAGACGAACAACCGGAATTGTTTTACATTATACTACAGGAGAAGACAAGCATAGGAACAGCAAATAAACATATACTGACCAACTCAACCAGGCTGATCATAACCCACCAACTACGAAACACATCATCAACAGGCATTTCTTCTCATGGATGTGGAGCTACAAAAATAAATATACTACCAGGCGCAGGCACCCGAAGCAAAATAAAAAACACCTGGACAAGCCGGAGATCATGCCCGGTGAGCGGGTGCTGCAGCAATTGACAGCAAAAAAACACCAAACGAGACAGGAAACGAGACTTTAAAAAAATGGCATCGCAGATTTTTTAGATTTGAATTAATGTGAAATCAATGTAGTATAAAGTAAAGCATTGCATGGAAAAAATGGGAGTCACCATGCTTTTTTTCCCATAAATTGGCTTTTTTATAGTGAATCTCTATGAAATTAAAATCTATGACCATCCAGATATCTGTGTAAAGAACGTTTTGAAATGTCGTTCTGTATACCTGATTTATTTAAAACTGCGTTGAGCTACCTTACATTAAGCAGCTTGTGTGTAAATTACAGTAGCTATCACCATAGACTGCAATTACTGTACATTTCAGCCTTTTGATTGTGCTTTTTACTTTAGTTGAAGTGGCTCAGTAATATGCTCAGCAATTATACAGAATTTTTCCAGAGGTGACAATGTCATTGGCAAGATGCCAGGGAAGCCTACAAAAGTTCCAAATAGGTGACGAATAACATTTACTTTGTAATTGTAATATTGAGTAATAACCAAATATGTTTTATCTTGCCAACTAGTTATTAATTAAATCTAATTTAGTGTTAATATTACTGTACAGTAGTAGTAGTTCTGTCACCGTATTCATTATGAAATAAGTTGATTGATTTTTGTAGTGAAGAAAAGTTATTGAAGAAATTACTTAACATTCTAAAGCATCCAGCCAAGAAACCACAGGTACTGTATGGCAACTGCTTCCCTTCGCATCATACCAAAAAGGATGAAACAATGAGTGACTGGATAGCAACGAGAACAGTGAGATTTTCCAAACAATGAAAAGACAATGGAACATTCTTATCACTGCATTGTGACTGGCTGATGACACTGTCTATTGTTATGCTATGAACCCTTTATGGAGCCATGTGTAAAGCCAGTTTTCCACTTCAATCGTACCGAAACGTAGCGTATTTCTTTGTTTCCTGACCACTAGAGTGGAACTAATGACTTCGACACAAAAGAAAATACTACGGTGCGTTACGATACGGTTGAAGTGGAAAACTGGTTAAAGCCGGTTTTCCACTTCAACCGTATCGTACCGAAACGTAGCGTATTTCTTTGTTTCCTGACTACTAGAGTGGAACTAATGACTTCGACACAAAAGAAAATGCTACGATACGTTACGATTGAAGTGGAAAACTGGCTTAAGGCTAGTCCGGTTGGAACGGAGATACGTTTTCTGCGTAAATGAAAACTGTCCGCTATGTTGGTATATTATTTCATGTTAGAAAGAATGACAAAGAGACACAGTCCCTATTTGGAACGAGTTTGTTGTTATACTTACATAGACCAGGCTTGCATGTACAGGCCCAACATGGATGCCATGTCATTTAACAAGACACCAGTGAGACAAACACAGTGAACAAAAAGGATATTTATTCTGCATTACTGACCTAATTGCTCATATTTATTCTAGTGACCTGTCATTACTTTGTTTTAGCTGCCTGTTTTGTCAGACACTAAAAAGAAAGAATCATCAAATGTTGCCGCTGTTGTTAAGCAATCTGCCGAAGGGAAGTGTTTGGAGCAGTTCAGGTAATCACTATAGGCTTGCATGCAAACTGTAATTTTGTGACACATGTGTCACAAAATTACACTTTGCACCTATATTTAATATTCATTCTATTCATTGTTTCATTAACTTGATCTGAAAGTGAATTGTCTTTATTTTAGTATTTTGTTTCAAAATGTGAGGACATTTTCAACACATGTTTATGGCGGTTACTTCAGCCAGGTAATGTAATTATGTGAAGTGTAATGACTAGATTTCCGCATTGAAGACTGCATGCACAATACAAGATTGTAAAATCAATATTGTCGCTCCTCGATGAGTTTCAATTTTCAAGTAGTTTCTTAGGGCTCAGTTACACGTTACCGGATTCGCTTGTTACAACATCGAATTTAACCGTTTCAGGAACCACTTAACACTTGGAATTGCGATTATATGTAATAATGTTATTTAACGAGGCTTACAAATAACCGCTGAAAGCTGAATGACTATAGCTATAGTGGGCATATGACAAAATTCTTCCTAAACGGCATATATGTTCATGTCGTACCAAGTGAATCCAGTATCGTGTAACTGGGGCCTTAATTCAGTTCCGTGTTTGAATTCGCTATACCTGAAAAAGGTAATTCTGTACTAATCATACAGTGCTGTTACTATAATCATATACTAACACTGATTTACTGTACCTTTCGTACAGATCTTTGAAGCACTACTGAAACAACGTCTCGTTTGCACGTAAGTTCAGTTTTGTAAAAAATATGCACGTTTTAACAAGCTACAGTAGCTTATAGTTGATTGTTTGTTGTGATTAATTTCGTACTAGGGAATGGATGACCCTAGCACCAAGAGAAGATGTGTTGAGAGTGTTCACATGTCTTCGTATGTTGATGAGAGATTCAAGTTACCAAGTAAGGACATGGCGATAGTTTTATACAATTTTTGCTGATATAATATCAGAAACTCATACATCTACAGCTATATGGCGAGTCTCAATGTAACCGCTTTGGTCAAAAACTAACATTGCAGTCATGATCAAATCAAATCAAAAATTTTTCCGTAAGGTACTGTACTGTACGTGCTTCCAAAAAGTGAAATTTTTACAACCTGTTTACTTTTTGCAGCAACTATTCTTCAAACTTGGTGGTGTAAAGACACTAGTGCAGGTATTACGTTTTAGCAACTATATATATCGTTTCTCATTTAAACCCCATAAAGAAAACAACTGCCGCGTAAAGTTAAGAGAGCATACTAATTGATGTGTAACAATCCGCGTATTATCTTTGATTTGATAATCTGTATTATTATATGGCAAGTATCACTTTTTATTATATGGCAAGTATCACTTCCGGTGAGATGGTGGACTGTGATTGGCTGAGAAGCACTTTCAGCGGTCCATTACTTTCTCGTGTAAAAACAAACGCATGCAATTTAAAACAAAACAGCAAAACTGATTGAAAATTTGAAAATTATAATTTAATTTGTTATTAATAAGATATCTGCTAATGGTTTTTAGTGGAAAAGAAGGAATACATTGCTATTTTTTGTTTTCTTCGACCAAATGTGTACCACGCTACTTTTGTTTCCTTCGACCAAATGTGTACCATGCATCTCAAATCGTGTATTTCTTGTTTGTTTCAATATAACTGCCTATGTATAAATGCCATATATTAATAAACTTTTTATTAACCTCGCTTGCTCGGTATGTACAGAGAAATATCGGACCTCGGTCTTTTTGTACACAAAAAATACCTCGCTCCGATATTTCTCTGCACAGACCTCGCGTTCGGTTAACAAGTACGATCGTACTATAGTGGACCAGGAACTGCGTGACCCAGTTTCGATCTTGTGCAAATCGTTAAACGTTCAAAACCTTCGAGATTTTGACTTGATAAACAAATAACTAGACACTTGTGAAACTAATGTTCTCGAAGTTTGCAACGTAGACTGAGTTCGCTAAATGTTTTGCTTTAATTTGGTCATGCAAGATACACTTTATCCGGGCAAAATGTGTCTAGTGCCGTGTAAAGCCTAAATGAGGTGTAAATCTGGACAAAGCATAGATAACTAAATGCGCAGTTTTCAAAAGTATTTCCTCGCATTTGAATTCGATAGATAAGTTAAATGTCCCACAATATTTAGAATAAACATGCCGTGCCTAAGTCAGCTAACTTTTGCCGTTGTGCTAAAAACAAATTTTCATGTCTTTGTTTTTACGGTTCACGATTTTCTATCAGACTATGAATATTATATGACAGCCAGATAGCAATATTACTCCACTACGCTTTGAGAAACTAAGGCCCGTTTCATACGTCGAATTTTGGTCGCGTCGAATGCAATTAAGACAATAGATAATGAGATGATAAACCTCATTAAGCTTCATTATCTATTGTTTGAATTGCATTCGACGCGACCGAAATTCGACGTATAAAACAGGCCTAAGCCAGCGTGTTAAATTTAGTCAACTTAACGCTTATAATTAATTGTTATAATTAGTCGTTCACATTCTTGAGAAGCTTTAGACTATTGTGATTGTGTTCACAACAATAGACAAGACAATGTCTTTCTTATCGTTTGCGTTTGCTGATATATTTGCTGAATATTAATGATATGTATATATTATTTGCTACGAATACAGTCAAAAATTGCTTGTATCTTGCTTCTAAAGTCAAAAATGAAAAATCGAACACCGTCAATCGATGCGGAATATTGCTTAGAATAATTGTGTCAAATTTCATTCCGATCAGACAAGTAATGACGGAGCCTTAGGGTTTTTTCAAAGAGCGTCGCCCCCTAACAACAACAGCAACAACAACAACAACAACAACAACAACAACAACAACAACAACAACAACAACAAGATTAGCAGCGATTGGGGACCAGTTCCTGGTCCAATAAGAAGTTAGTAATCAACCCGTGCTTTTAAAAGGGGAAATTTTACTGGCATGGCATATATTGGTTACATGCGTTAACGGCAGCAGATGGTGGTCAACTTAAATAATGTTGACACTGATATGAGCAGATAAATTAAACTAGGCCTATTGCCCTATACATTCTTTCAATTCTATTTATTTGCTACAGACTACTGAATGTTTACTGTGATGAAAATAATTAATATTAGTTTTTCACTATAATTGATTGTTGACCATCATCATGAGCTGCATGTAACCCACCTTTTAATTCAAATAATATATAAAATAAAAGAAACTGAAAGTATTTTACAAAAGTGATTGGTCGAATATTTCATCAATGTATCCTATTTATTTTAAAGCGGTTGCATGTTTTAACTGAAGAGTATTTGGACGATCCTGAAGGACAGTTTACTGTGGATATCTTGAAGGAGATGACGAGTAAGTAATGCCGGACGGCGAAAATATTGTTCAGCAAAACTGAGCAAAAGCAACAGTCTAAGGATTTGAAATTGGTCACAAAAATGACTTCACCACTGTTGCTACGGTAACAATAACGATTGATCATGACCGATACCGGCTTTTAATGCACTTTAATTGAAAAAAATGAACATTTTTACCCCCATTTTTTATTTCAGGAAACTTTTCTTGCAGTGCAATAGACTACTGAGTAAAAATTTTGTTGAGTCAAGAAATATTTCGAAATACCATGTTTATAATTTTTTTTAAATTTGGCTTTGATTTTTAGCAGGCAACATCTCTTCGAAGAGTTCATCTAATTTATGCATGAAAACTGTAAGGAGCCACCTTAAATTATATTCTAGTTGTACTACATTTTGATATAGATATTTGCCAAAAACTACCGACGACTGATGAGAAACGTGAATGGCTTATTGCATGTGGCGTTCACAAGGTTGGTCAGTTTGTTTATAGACTGTGTAATGTAACATATATATCTCATATAATCTCGTATCCAGGCTCTTTCCTCTCCGCTCCTACGAATGTTGAAGGTGACATGACGCGAAATTTTCTTTTGCCCCATTTAAAAAAAATAAGTCAAACTATGAAGTAACTTTTACCGATTTTGGTGTATGTTCTTCATTGATGAGATACTGTAATTCAGTCTTCTCATGTGCAGTGCAAACCAATTCACCTCATATTTTGATAATTAGCCGCAAAACACTTGAATTTATGTGTTTTTATTCAACAAAATCATTGGGTCAGGAAAACGTCGTACGTGCATGCGTTGGCCGTTGTAAAGTTTTTTGCACTGCATAAAGCACGTAAACGAAAATCTGTAAAATAACTTACTTTAGTAGCAAATCAAATAAATATTAATAACAAATAATAATTAAGTAAATATATTTCAAATAGGACAATAACTAAGTATAAATATTTATTTATAAGTATTTTACAGTATAAATATTGTTCAGCATTGACCCTGATTTCAGGCAGACATTAACTTTATACAGGGTATATCAAAAGACTTCACACTAAACTGAAAATTACACAAAATTTGAGAAAACATGCATACATGGGTAGTTTTTTTTTTTTTTTGGGGGGGGGGGTTGCTAGTATGAGTAGTATCTTTACCGCTAAATTTGGGATAGTAGTCTTTCATGCTTAATTCATGCAGGACAACTCTTCTGCATTCGAAAATTTACTTTTAGAGGTAAAGATACTAGCAGACCCCAAACTACCCATGCATGCATGCTTGCATAAAGTTTTCACAAATTTTGCGGAACTTGCAGTTTAGCGGACATTTTCGAAATGTGCAGTTTTTTATACACCCTGTACTGCTCAATTACAAATTGTTGCCTACAGTTCCCTTCCCCCATCAAAAAAAACAAATACAAAAGTTTTAGCAACAATAATTTTGAAATTGTAAGAACTTGGCAAAGTATCGTAATACATATTTCCGATCTAATGGTTGAAAAATTAAATCATTCAAAACTTAGATTACAGTATGTATCTTTTGCATTCCGGCCTATAGCCCTTGGTAATGTTACTTCATGCAATGGATATTGTAGTGCTGCACTGTTCTCTTTATGCCTTAATTGGCTTGTCTCAAAGGTAAGTTGGAAAATTCAACTTGTATTCTTGCGACTACTTTATTATAGTTTTTGATCGACAGTGTTGTATCAACGAATTGTGTTGTGCGAATGGGCAAGATTTTTTCTACATGTTTACCCTCGGCTGGTACCAATTACATATCTACAGTTAGGATATATATAAGTATTAAAATTGTTTTTGTATATTGCAGTGAGAGCGCGAAAGTTGCCATTGGAGAGTTGAATTGTATTGAAATTCTTCTTCGCATTATAGAAAATTATGATATGCCTTCAAAGAAGTGAGTATTCCGTCAGTAAAAGAGTAGACTACGACTTTGGTAAAATCACACTGAGCTAAGTCAAAAGTATACCAGACTTCGTACATTAGCATATTCCATTGAACTGAATAGAACTGGAACGCTATACCTCCAACCGGAAATTTGAAGCCAAACTTGAAAACTTGAATCCTGAAATATAATTGATGTTATCATATGTATATTAACTTCTTGTGATTGTCTTTAATAAATTCACTTACAGCGTGTAGTAAATAATAAGTATTTGTTAACCATTGGCAAACACTTGCCGTCGATAATTTCACTGTTTTCGCCGGCAATTGCCGTTTGCCGCCGAAGATTGGGAGGACTGCAAATTAATGAGATTTTGTTTAAGTATGATTGGCTGATCAGATGAGATCAGATTGAATCCTGACTAATTGAATCTCTTGATAAACATGCAAGTTTCTCGAGAACATATGGTATATATGTATAAACGTTTGACTGAAACGTGGGTATTTTATTTTCTATTAGACTTGCTGCGAATTTACTGAAGATTCTTTGTTCGCATATCAACATCAGAGAACAAGTAAAAGTATTCGAAGGCATTCGAATATGTTTAAGGTATAATCATATGTTATTTTATGTTTCTCATTGCAATGAAATGATCTTATCACTGATTGTTTTTGTTTTTTATCTTAGCTTACTGGATTCCGACAATGTAAAATTTTTATGGTATTTGGTGAGTAAAGCCCCTTACAAATTCGCAAGTTTTCTTTCACAACTTTTCCTTGTTCGTGTTTACTATGTGACAACTGTGTACGCCACAAATTGACAAGTTTCTGGGGTTAAGGTAGCTCCCTACAGTTGTTTAAACATGGGACTGGTAACGAAATGACGTGATCTTGCCGAGTCAACCTCGTACCCAGGGCTTCTGCGCTTATTGCTCTCAGAAGCAATAAGCGCAGAAGCCCTGGGTACGAGGTTGTTGCCGAGTTGAAATTTTATCACGTCAGCACAGATTTTATATATGACCGCGCAAGGTTTGTAATGCAATAATTTTTTCGGTCAATATTTCTGAAATTTTGTATTTTGAAAGTACTAGTCATTTATTGCAATATACTCATTTTTAAAAAAAATCTATAACACAGTTTTTGTGGAACAAATTTCGCGTAATATCTCAAAAACTGAATTTATAATCCCCCTAATGTTTTGATATAATCTTCCACTAGATATTCCCTTTACACCTACAAAATTTCAGAAACTTTGACCGAAGAAAATTTTAATATTCATTTTTAGTCCAAAATTTGATCTTTATCTGCTGTCGCTTAGGCCACATTGTTACCATAGCAACACTCAGTTTGCTTCTTTCGAACGATTATGCTTGAAGTATAAAGATTACGCAAGCGTTTCAACTTCCAAAAAATCCCCATTTCACATAAATAGCAAATATTTTGCGTCATTGTGAAGACCTTATTTTTCGTTGCTGTTTCTTTACAAATGTAGGTAGCCACCTTAAAATGATCATAACACGGAGTTTCTTACTTACCTGAAATAAATAAGACACCGCGGGCTATACATGACATCTGCAAGACAACTTGAAACGAACCGCTATAGTATAGAGAATAATGAACTCCAGTTACTTTCACAATATGGATATTTTTGCCACAGCTGATCAATAGTACGTGCATGCAGGAGGTCTATATTGAATCAATATGTTTCGTTAAAATATTAAAATCTAAATTTATAGTTACAGTACAACTTATATACGTACAATATATACAAAACGATAAAAGTCAGTACTCGTTTACCTACTAAACAGTATGAAAATTATGAGCTGAAAACGTTGCTAAACAAGAGGTTAGGGAAGATTAATAGCTTAATTAATAGCTTAATTTAAATTTAGCTTCGGCATTTGGTGCTGGCCATTGTGTTTCCGGGGCCAAACGCTAATTTTATTTCGCCGCGAGTTAATTTCATTTTGTTGTCGGTTAATAGTTTTAACGTGAGTTAACTTTATGTTGCTGCGTGTTCAATATTACAATAACTTTATTTTGCCATGAGTTTATTTTGTTATGCCGTGAGTTTATTTTTGTCTTGCCGTGAGTTAAGTTAATTGTATTTCACCGTGGCTGCATGCTGTTTAATATTTTTGTCTAATAATTTAGTATTATCATAATTTTATTCAGGTTTGGATAATTGTCCAGCTATCAGAAGATCAAGATTCTAGAGAAGAAATTCGATTATTGGGAGGCATTCCGCTCATATTATCCCTCATTTAGTAAGTATCACGTTATACATATCATTGCTCCTACTCTCAGTGACTCGCGGTCCTTTTCAGTTCGCTTGAACGCATCCCAATTCCTGCTTATGCTCTAGTTACTCTCAAATTGTACATTTTGTAAGTTGAGAAGATGTTTCAATTTTGTACATTCGACATACCCTTGCCGCATATTTGATTTCCTGCGTTTTGGGAGGAACATTTCATAAATTCAGAAGATTACGAAACATCATATTTCACGGCATAAATAAGATAATTCGTTCATGAAAAAATGTCGTCTCCGTCCCGTTCTTTTCATTCATGTATGATGCTGCATGCATATGCAAGAGTTTAGATGGCTCAATCTGGTTTTAATACATTTTATATAAAGCACTTCTGAGTTTGCTTACAATTTAAGCACTTTTGAGTTTGCTTGATAACTTGCGGACAAAAATGAGGGAAATTTGGAACTACTAAAAGGTAAGCTGTCTAGGAAAAGAAAAATGTGAGTTAAAATCTCGATTTTTTAAGCAAAATTTCTCGTGTTTTTTGATGTCGAAAACACAGTTTTTCGGTCATTTTCGCGTGCGAGTATGAAATCTTAAGTTATAATGATTCACCTATTAAAGCTGTTATAAATAACAAGTTATGTTTCCTTGTTTCATTCAGCAAAGACCGAGTTTTCCATGTTGATCAAAACATCTTGGTGATGTCTAGCGAATGTGCTACAAAAGCTGTATCAGACGTGAGAAATTGTTATACTTTATTGATATTATAGTTCCCCTGCAACCATTTGTTGGTCAAATGTTAATATTCTGACACAAAATTATATTACATGCATGTCATGACTTTTAAAGTAATGTTCTGTATATTTTCTTTCAGGTTGAAAGTGACAACAACGTGGAACTGTTTTCGCTTAAATCTGGTGAGCATGCATGCAGGTCGGGTTACAGTAGAATAAAACGTGGATAAACGGACTTATGTTCTTGTTGAACGTCATTTAACAGTCATATCCGCGTTCAAAAAAGTATTTTGTGCCTTTATAAGTCATATCCGCGTTTTATCCAAAAGGATAATAAAACGCGCGAATATGACTTATAAACGCATGAAAAAGTTTTTTGAGCCATATATCGGCATTTTATCCTTTTGGATGACGTTTAGCGAGAACATAGTGTAAGTCATATAATATTTTTGTTTGTGGAAACACCACGTAAATTTATTACTGCAAAGCTTTCGATCCGTAAGCCCGGATCTTCATCAGTGCTAATAATATGCACTATTCATCAGTGCTAATATTATTATCGAAAGCTTTGCAGTAATAAATTTACGTGGTGTTTCCACAAACAAAACTATTATATGTTTTATCGCCATGCAAACATACAAAGAACTTAATACTGTAAGTCATCCGTCCGTCTGTCCGCCATCCGTATCCGCGTTTTATCTTAATTCATATACTGGTCTGGAATTTCCCTAAAACCTCATAAAACGTCAAAAATTGCTATAGGGTGCAGCGGCTCTCTACGAGAGTTTATTGAGAACAGACTTTGCAATTTATTGAAGACAGACATTGATATATCATTTTCATCAATGGCTGTTACGGAAACCAGGGCTCTCACTTCGTGTTCTGATAATTTCCTTAAATTTCCGTGAGATCATAGGAATTAAATTTCCCATTTTGGTCATTTTGTGCAATTTTTAATTGTGTCTCTTCATGATATTTTCAAAAGAGGGGAATAAAATTCTACAATACTTTTGAAAGAGGGAATTATATAAATAGAATTAAGAAATGACTCGAAATTGGCTACAAACTACAGTACTAATCATACCAGTTTCCTCAAAATTAACACTACGGCAAAAAATTGTCGTCGTTGTCCACAGCTTCCTCTCGAATTATGGTGGGTGCCGCGATAAATTTCCAGCCCTTTTCGAGTTTTAGGGTAACTTTTAATTTAAAGTGATATTTATAATTATTTGTATAGGAAATTACACGGTTAGAAAAATATTAATGAAAAATCACACGAGTGCGTAGCACGAGTGGTATTATAAATATTTCGCCAAAGACAAGTGTGATTTTTCATTAATGCAAGTGTAATTTCCTATTAATATCATTTTATAATCAACTTTACGAGCAATCAATGACACGAAACATTGTATTAATGTATTCAAGCGAGCACAACCATATACGCGCCTTTGTGATCAATTTTTTCTGACATTAATTTTCAATTTATGCCTCTTGATTTAATCTCTTCTGTTCAAGAACTCATGCATTACAAAATCAGAGCTCACAAAATATAAATTTTCACATTGTTTATCAGATTTTGCACTGATTTATTTCTGCACTCACGTAAGCGTGTGGAATGCACGCTGGCTCGTATTCGTGCCGATTAATCTTTAATCGGCATACTGTACTGAATATTTAATCGGCACGGTTTGAAACCAATCGGAATCCAGTAAGTTGACTAAAATGATATTAACAGTGCTTGTATATGCATGTTCAAAGCTTATCATTATTATCATTCCTTTTTTGTCCTTTAGCCGTCTGTACTGCTCTGACAGAATTAGTCCTCAATGATACAAATGCTCAACAAATAGTTCAGGTGCGAAATTAGTGTGTTATATATAGTTATCTGATGTGTATTGTGTCACAGAAACTAACTATAGTCATGGCCAAGGCTGTGTGGTGTTTAAGCAAATTAAGCCTGCTACTGTAAGTCGTGCAAAAGGCATTTACATATATAGGTTGGTAAATTTCCCGTACTTGAAAAAATATTGGTTCTCTTGAATCTCTTCTGTGATTCAAGGGTGTCATTCTGGGTCATCCGTCTTCTTCCACAAAAAATCTATTCCTTATATAGGCCTTAGTTGTCTAGCACGCGTGCATGACAAGCCTCTGGCCCGGGGGAAATGGGCAACCACATCCCAGAGAGCTCTATATGTAACCATGGATAATAAAATAAATGGATAGGAAACTAACTGACGTGACCTAATGTTTTCAATGGGCGATGGCGTGGTTGGATGTCCCAACCTAGTTGCAAACCAAATTCTCAAAAACGGCATGTTTAGCACTGAATAATACAGCTAAACACTTTAGTCAAAAAGCAAGTAAATATAACCACGCCATTCTACGATGAAAACTCTAAGTATTCCCAGTCAATTTTAGCAAATATTTCAAGCACAAAACAGTGGAAAATACATCGCAAATTTCGTTAAAATTTGTGACGCCAATTTCGTAGCTACAAATGTAAAAAAATACAAAACAAAGACGAAAAACATTTACCTTGAATACTTTGTCGTGGCTTAGGCATGTTTTTAAAACAATTAGACCAGTTTATGCTTCAATATCACCCTTTTAAAGTGGAAAATATAGCAAAACAACAAAAATGCCGAGAACTTTGGTAATATTCGCAATACGCGTGACGTCACGTTTTTCAACAAGGATGAGGTCAATGACGTCAGGATGATGTAACTGTGGTAAGAACTCGCGTGCAAAAAGTGAAGATAAAGCTGGTGGAAAATGTCGTTCAGTGTTAGTCCCTTATAGTAGTACCTGTCTGCGTGGTTGGTTGCCATATTTCGTTTTTTGACTTACCGTGAATAATACTAAAAACATATATAATAATATAATACTACATATATTTATATCGCTTTACTTCTTCGTGCAGATTTTTTCTCAATTCAATGAAATAAATATATAGCTAGCAAATTCTCAACTATATGTTTGTGCATTGTTTTCAACATTACTCTTTCTTTTATTTTTAGGGTAATGGTATATATTTATTGAGCTCGCTCATTCTCCATAAAAAGACAGGGCAAACAGTTTGTTCAGACGAAGCAAATGCAATCGAAACTCTCCAGGTAGTTAAAAAAGATAGTTAAAGAAGGTAGTTAAAGAAGGTAGTTAAAGTTAACTACACGCACCGATGCACGCAGTTAATGCTAATGTAAACTAGTCTAAATCGCGAATTTTAGAGTTAAATACTACTTAGCTGCAAAATGGGCAGTTACGATGTAGTTAAGAGTTTTATACAACAACCTATAGATACTGCAATAAACATAGCTGTTTACTTTCCTGCACTGTGAAACCGGTTTGATTAAAATAACCAAATTTGTTTGGTTGTCTCAGATGCACTTTTTTTTACCAATATCATTTGCCTTTTTGTCAAAACAACCGAAAAAATGGTTATAATAAGTTAATAACCCAATTTTTAGTTGTTTTAACCAATAAACGTAAAAAATACTGGTCAAATAAGTTCATCTGTGATGGCAACCAATTTAAATTGGCTATTCTAACCAATCTGTTTTTCAGTGTGATGCGGATATTCGGTGCATGCATGTGTAAAGTAAACCTAAAGCTTGACTTAATTTATCTAATAAGTATGCTGTTTTCCCTTTTAGAAAAGTTCTTTGAGAGCACTGCGGTATTTATTCAGCATGGAAAGAAACCGACAGTTATTTAAAATGTAAGGAACTCTTGAGATTAGTCCTGGTTAGTGCTCGCTAAAACTAGTTGAACATTCTCTTACGTTTTAACGTTTTGTTTTGATGTAGACTTTTTCTTTCTGAAATATTCGAAACGTTTATTGATGTTGGTCATTACGTTCATGATCTCAATGCTTACAAGCCATTGGTAGAGAAGATTAATAACCTTTCGGTTGGTATATGTTTTTGTCTTACGCAATATTTCAAACAGAAGCTGGCGTTGAACAGGATCTGATGTGACACCTTTCCGAATATATAACAGTAAACACGAAGCTATTATCATGTTTTGTGATTGACTTGCATGAACAAAATTTAATTTTGCCATTTATAACGAAAATTGATGCAGCTTTGTTACACAGTTATTCAGCTATCAATCAATTAAGGTTTTCGGAAATTATTGCATGGGGGTTGACTCCTGGTCTCTCCCTAGTATCCTCCACTGATGAATGCATTTTTACAAAGTATATTCTTTTTGACTCTGTGAGTCTTTGTGGTTACTTGAGTGCATGTGGGGTGAGTGTGGGGCAGTTAAACAATGGGAAATGATCAGCCTGCTTTGCGCGCACTGTTTAGTGCCTGGAACACGCGTTCGTTCTTGTGTGATTTAGCAAAAGAAGCACGATAAATGGGTGAACTGGAAAAATTCGCACGGCGCCCGGTTTGCAAAAACAACTGCAAACTGCTCTAATTCTTTCTATCACTTTCATTTGATCTTATCCGTGAGTCGGCCTCAACGTCCATTGATTGGCATTGTAAGGGATCCGAAATTAATTATACCTAACTTCGCGTTATTTCTGATTTTATACTGGTTATCGTCTTGTAGGAAGATCAAGTGACTCTGATTAATTCAAATATCGAGGCGACCAACAGACGTCGAGCGTCGTCGCGTACTGTGGGATCCTATGCTGTTTTGGAACTACTTGGTTCTGGGGCTTTTGGTAGTGTTTATAAGGTACTTCATGCATGTATTATGCAATGTATACTATTTTATGAACCTTTCAATTTAAGCAAATATTTTCGCCTGGCTATTTACACTCGGGGAACGGAAAGCATTAGCGAAGTCTAAAGGCCCATCTACACGATACCACCTGTCGCATACGATTCTTATCCTGGCGTATGTACTCGAATAAATGCTTGTAAAGATGTCAAATTTCAAATTTCACCATAAACTGATGAACAGGAATAGTGGCATCGGCAATCGTTTTCATACGCCAGGGTAAGAATCGTATACGACTAGTCGTATCGTGTAGATGGGCCTTAAAGTTCATCAATAGTCGCGGGCGCGTGATTATGGTTCAGGGGTGGACCGTGGACGTCACTGATCTCAAAAATATGGCTGTTTGCCAGAAGTGGGATAAGCAAGATTTCAATTTTCAAAAACATGTCCAAATGACTAAATGTCAATTTATAAATAAGTTCGCCCCATTCCTCTGACATTTTTCGCGCGCCGCAAACACTCAATGAAAAGCATTTTTTATATATATATACATAATACATATATTATTATTGTTTATATATGTATATATTATGTATATATATATATAAACAATGCTTTTCATTGAGTGCTTGCGGCGCGCGACAAATGACAGAGGAATGGGGAGATCTTATTTATAAATTGACATTTGGTGCCATTCTACACGCATTTTTGGGCTGCTTATGGTAAAACATGCATTACTTTCCTTTTCAATGAAGCTGTAAGTTTTCTAGCCTGCTCGCAGCCCAAAATTTTCCGGTGGGGGCTGCTGAGCAGGCTATAAGTGTTCTAAATTTCCAAAAGGTAAAGTGTAAAATGTAAAGGAGAGCAAATTAATCTGAAGACCAAGCTGGAATTACTCAACAATTTGAACTTATTTTGTTTTATTAAAGTAAAAATAGTTTATCTGCAAAAGCAATGAACATTTCAAAACATTTTACGAAGCGATTCAGGCTAAATTTTACATTAAGAGGCAATTTTTTTCAATGTCACGTATTTACAATGAAAAGTGTTCAAAACCTAAAATCTTTTTGGCGTCCCTCTCAAAATTACTTTGTTTTAGCTTTATTCTCTAGTTTATAGAGTTAATAGCTACCTTTTTAAATGCGTCTGCCGGTTGAGAAACATAAAATAATAGTTAAAAATTGTCAATTAAAATACAATTATCAATGACGATTTAAAATTGACGCCATATTTACAGCCATATAAGCAAAACTTACTGAACTTCAGACATCATTTTCTCTGTGGCGTATCATCTAAAAGTCTCTTCATTTTGGCATTATTTTACAGATAAAGCACTAAACTTTCTTTTTAAGTTTGTTTGCCGATTGAGAAACGTATCGAAAAATAAAAATTTTGAATTTAGTCATAACCTCAAGTGATATATTATACGCATTAGTTTTGAGCACGTGTTACGTAACATACAAAAAAATCTCCTCTTAAATCAAAGTTCGCAAAGTAATTACATACCTACGGTGCATATTTCGGAAATTCATTCTTGTATAGTTAAAAGTATTAATCTTTCAACTATTTTTGGCGTTTTGTACAAAAAATATAATAAAAATTTAAAATTCTCATGTTGTCATGGCAATACCACAGAAGAGATAATACCAGGGGCCGGTTGTATCAAGCCCGTTTAGCTTAAACGGTGGATAAGTCAAAATTAAATAACACTCTTATATTTTTCGTGAATCAGTCAACTTAAATATTCTGCACTGAATATATAGTTGTAAACATTATCGTTCTATTAAGGTTCAAAACTTTTAGTTTGGTTGTTTAATGAATCTATAGACTTGCTTTCTATTTTGAGCCTAACCACCGTTTAAGCTAAACGGGCTTGATACAACCGGCCCCAGAAGTCTTACTCAAGCGGAAACATGTCCCATCTTTTTTATTGCGCATGCGCGAGCTAAACAAGTGTAATGCAATGTTGACAATAGAAAATTATATTGGGAAGTTGTCATTCCTACAGTAAAAACAGCTTTTTTTCAAGTAGTACGAAATGTGACTTCGATTTATCTGTGGAACTATTTGAACAGAAGGTAAAGCAGTAATTTTGTTGTATTTAGAAAGCAAACAGGGTCATATTTTAAAGAAAAGAGCGCACTAAATATAAATTTGAGCATCATTAAAATGTGTTCGCTATGATGCCATTTTGTCTCCAGTATATACGGAGTACTGCTTTTATACTGGTGGATATTCGAATTTATTTGGCTCAAAAACACCATTACTTCAATATCCCTTTCTTGTTTTTCCTTGGATAGGTTTTAACAAGATAGAACTCTAGATCACTTGGGTCCAAAAACGCTAGATTATAAAATCCTGTGACTTGATACTACAAATAGAATATGTCTTGTGATGTAATACTACAAATAGAATGACAAACTTTAATGAATTGATAAAGTGTAAGGATAGTGTTTAAAGTTGCTTCATGTGTAGAAGCTGAATTACTTTAGTTTATACACTGTAATGTCGATATCACATGTTGATATGACTTTAATACTAGCAACTTGCAATAAGTGGTCTGTCCTGCTTGTTTATAATACTTTAGAGTTTGGACATAGAACATTGTAATTGCCTGACAGAGACTGTTTATAGGGCCTGTTTGTATGGAAGCCGGGCTGGCCCGCTTAGCGAGACAGGTAGATACGCAGGATGAACATATGGTCACTTTTTAATGAACCAAGGAAGAGTCACGCACAAAACAACATTTTAAGCAGTATAAACAAAGAGAGAGAAGAGAATATTGATTATTGGATGTTTATTAAAAGTGCTAGATTCTATCTAAGGTAGATACGCAGGATGATTTCTCTTGTGTTTATTTGAGAAAATTTCATCCTGCTTACCGGGACAATTTTGTTGTTTTGACATTGTTTTGACAGTTGTTAAAAATAGCTTGCGGCAGTATCGTTGAACATTCATCCTGGCAACTGGGCTATCCTGCTTGTGATTGTTTATATGGAAAAATTTCCATCCTGGTCTCTGCAACAGGGCCTCCCGCTTGTACATAGAAACAATTTTAATTATAATTTTTACTATAAAAATAAGTAGACAGTGAGATCTCACTTACCGGGCTGTCTCACTTAGCGGGCCAGCCAGTTTCGATATAAACAGGCCCTTAAAAGCTGCAAGTTTCCTTAAAGCAATATCGTCTATATCACAGAATACAGTTTCTGTAGTGACATACT